CCTTTGAAGCCGACCTCCTGATTCTTGTGTCAGCAACCGACAACGGCGAGGACCATTCATATCGACGATGAGAAGGTGACGTACATCAGCAATAACATCTGGGAGCTCGGGTCCCAACTCAGCGGCAGGACCTCCAGCAGCTGGGTTGGAAGCCCCGAAATTGAAAGCCATTCTGAGGCTGTCGAGGTCAGACGAAATCGATCGAGGACGGTCGCCTAAAGATAAACTGAACTTTGGTGCATGGGGAGAAGGTGGGCTATGTGGTGGAGGTGGAAACGAGCGACGCTGGAGTGTTTGGGGACTCCGGTTGAAAAGCTTCCAGGTGCGCGCAAAAATCTTGAATATCCCTTCAAAGGAAGGGAGAGTATCAGGAGTAGAAGATTAGCGAGGCGGCCAGATTGAGTTAGCCGGACAACAGTTGTTCGGGTTTCAACAATAGAGCAATCTTTTACGTTGTCCGACGAGCAAAAGTGAGGCCTCCAGCATAATCATCATAATTTCTGGCGGAACAAAAACAGCGGAACTCTGGGCGCGTTACAGGCCTTATTGCCTCAGGCATAAGCGATTAGGCGGCGGGAGCTTCGTCACTGCGGCAGTTCCAGCTCCTCCGCCTGCCCATCACTGACTACCTAGCTCTTCAAGCTTCCCGTAATTGCTTCCATTGATTCATTTACCTGTTCCGCAACGACTATTTGATCTTGAAGACCACTGATTCTAACACAATTTGGCGTCACTCGTTCCCTAACTTGCCTATCCTTGCCTATCCGTCTCCGCGCCCGTCAATATGGTAGGCTTCGACTTCTCTAACTACAATCGCAACGCGGCTCTGCACGCCAAAGGTGTGCCTCTCCCGAAAGCGACAAGCACTGGTACAACAATCGTGGGTTGTATCTTCGATAATGGCGTTGTGGTAAGTGATGATGGAATTTACCAAATAGTCCCTAGTGATGATGGACTGTCCGGAAGCTCACTCAATCTTACCCTTACAACAGATCGCCGCGGATACCAGAGCTACGAGCGGTCCTATAGTCGCAGACAAGGTGCGTTACACATTTATAAGCTTCTAGAAGACGTGTCAATGCTAATCAGTCTGATCCTACATAGAACTGCGAGAAACTTCACTACATCGCCCCCAAAATCTGGTGTGCTGGAGCCGGTACAGCTGCAGACACCGAATTCACAACCGCCCTGATCAGCTCCAACGTCGAACTGCACTCTCTCTCGACGGGCCGGCCCCCACGAGTAATTACCTGCATGACCATGTTGAAGCAGCACCTCTTCAGATACCAGGGACACATCGGCGCCTATCTGGTCGTCGCGGGCGTTGACCCGACAGGCGTCGGTCTTTACACCGTCCACGCCCACGGTTCAACCGACAAGCTCCCCTACGTCACCATGGGCTCTGGCTCGCTGGCCGCCATGTCCGTTTTCGAGTCGATGTGGAAACCGCAGCTGAACCGCGAAGAGGCTATCGCTCTGGCTTCGGAAGCTATCAAAGCCGGTATCTTCAACGACTTGGGTTCCGGTAGCAACGTTGACGTGTGCGTCATCCAGAAGGATAAACCCACGCAGCTACTTCGCAACTACATGAGGCCCAACGAGCGTGGTGAGAAAGAGCGCAACTATCGCTTCCCTAGGGGCACAACAGCCTATCTGAACGAGAAGGTCATCAGCAAAGAGGACATGAGAAAATATGTGACTGTGGAGGATGTCTCTGGGGATCCAAATCTCATGGAGGTAGACTCGTAATTAAGTCGACGGTAGCAGGAGCTTAAGCACGATCTATCTATATTGTCTGTTGTTTCTTGTGACGCATCAAGAATCTAATTGAGGGATCAATTGCATGTCTCAATATCATACTACTGAGCAAGACTAAACTCAACAATATCCTCATGGGAGATAGTAAAAGTTCGCAGCGCGTAGTCAATTTCCGGGAGATAACTCTTCGAAAATTGCTTTGAACATCCATGCTAATTATACAGGGTTATCATGCCACCGCAATTTGACATAACGTCTCTATAATGCTGAGACAAGGTAACTATATACAGAATAAGCTATTGCCTGTTTCCCACGAAATGACTGCACGTCAAGTCATCTGTCCCCAGACCATGTTTGATCGCTTCCCGCTTTCCCCCACGCGCGGCGGCTCCATGAGGGCTTGCACCATTTCCGGTGTCTCAATTTCTTTCACGCGGTCAAGGATGTAGGCATATTGAGTCGGCGCGACGTTCAGTCCTGCTCTTCGAAAACGCAACACACCAGCATGATACATGGCGCGCACAAGTGACGGTTTCACGTGCGCGTTGTGCTTCATCAGGAAATCGTAGAGCCAGTGGACCAGCGCATAGGCACGGCGCGGGCTGATGTTCCTCGAACATGCAAGAGAAACAGCAAAAAGGTGGAGCATCTCTACGGCCAAATGAGGGTCAGGACAGAGAGCGGTTCTCGGCTCTGGATTGTAGCGCACGAGGGCTTTTTCCGAAGGGTCCGGGACACGCGGCCAAAGGTTCGATATCGCAATCTTGAGAGGGGTGTGGCAACGAAACAAACGGATCAGTGTCCAGATTCTTTGAATGTTCCCGTCTCTGGCGATCTCAATCGCATGTTTCACGAACGAAGGGTCGGTGACATCGATCTGCCGTGCCATCTTCTCATACACGGAGAAGAAATGAGTATTTGACGCGTTGTAAGCATGGATGTCTGAGAACATCTCTGCGAAAGACACTTTTGTCGTCTCGAGTTTCTCCAATGTCCGTCTTTGAGCTCGTGTCGTGCGCTTTGCTGCCTTCAATTCCACGACCGACATCAGCAGGCCGTTAGACGGTATGCCAAGTGTGTGGATATCCTTCATCAAGCTGCTTAAGAGGTCCTCGTAACCGCCCTTGTCGAGAGCAGATTCGTAAATTGCGCAGAGATCAATTATTGGCGAGTCAGTTACCCTCTGACCTCTTCTCCAAAGCGGGCCCTGAGGGAGATATTTGCTAAGAGCCCGTAATATCCAAATGCGCAAGACGATTTGGTGTCTGAATGACAGTGTTGAGTTCTTCCCTTGTGCAGATCCAAGTGACTCGGCAGTATGTTGCGCGCGCGCGTCGACCCATATCTGTGAAGAGACAACACTCGTTATGTTGTCAAGCTCGGACAAGCGGCGCTGCCACTCAAGCAAGCAGCCCATCTCCGTAGAGACCAGATACTCTGTTGTGCGGATAATAATTTCAGATGTGGCAGTGGGATGGAAATAGCCCAAGAGTTCCTTGATATACAGCCGATTGCTGCTATGCCGTGATTCCGCCGAAATTTTTAGCCAGCATGCAATCAGAATAGGCACCCATCGACAATCGGCTGACCTAGGATCTTGGGTCGCCAGAATCATGTCCTTCGCCAGTATGAAGTCGTCATAAGTTTTTCTTTCGCAAAGGATGCTTAGCCATGCATCAACTATATCCTTGCTAAGATCCTTGTGTCGATAGATATCACAACTTCCGATGGCGTCCCACATCTCCCGATGAAACCTGACCAGGAACCTGGAGTTCCGTGCAGTGAATCCATGTGATCGTTTGAGTTTAACATCCGATATAGTCTTTATAATATCTTGAAGCTCAGTGGGATGTAGGAGCCCTAGCTCCAAAGATCGAATGACGGCGTCGAACACCCGCTGTTTCCCGAAAATCGCCGCTGTAGATAAGGTATGCTCAAGAGCGCACAGATAATTTCCAGCCCCTCTAGTATTAAGATATGGATCGTCGAGAAATTCGACAACTTTCTGCATGGCACTCTCGTTATTGGCTGATCGCGACAGCAGGTGTTTAAGTATCAGACGGCTGTAGGAAGGCTCCCGCTGGAGATCGAAATTGAGTTGGCGCACGAAGATCCCGATAGCTGTAACCGATGGACGCGATTTCAGAAATTCTTTCAGTACCTGCTCACGAGAGGTTTTTTGTGACACATCCGGGAATCCCTGGATACCATTCAACGTGTCGAACTCCATCGGGGGAATGTTTTCGCTGTAGAACGGTAAAGGAGGCTCCGGAGGGTTCAATGGAAAGGCAGGCAAATCTTCGGTGCAGTTAGAAACACGATCTGTCTGCCCATGGATTTGGCACAGGAGTAGATTCTTACCATGGGCCTCCGGGTGAACATTTCGTTCCTCCCGGTCCGTCCATTTCATGTGCTCCCGCCCATTTCGTCCAAACAAACACGCAATATCTTCTAGAGGTCCGGAGCCGGCTATACCGGCCAATGCAGTATTTCGTCGCTTGGCCAGTCGTCTTCTTGCTTCCAAAGGCCCTGGCACTCGACTTTCGTAGCGTCGTTGACTGGTTGCGAATCGTCGGAAGGTTGATGCGAGCAGTTCTTCGCTAATCCACACATGGTCAATGCGATTTGTGGAAGATGGGTGTAGTGCATGCCGATAGGCATGTCTACCGAGAGACATGAGGCAACGGGGGCATTCGAGTGCAATTGAGCTGTGCCGACCTTGCGGACGTTAGCATGAAATGAAGCTTGCGGAGAGTTTGGCGTTCGAGTTCCGAGACGATGACTAAGCGGCGGCCAACCATATTCGCTTTGGGATTCAGGTCTGGGCTAAGGTAACTGACTGAAGCACGTCATAGGCATCCTATTGATATAAGCCAGCACTAAAAGACGATGACAGATGGCCATTTTATTCCCGTTAAGCCAGCGGCTGGATTCAAAACATGTCAAAGCTCCCAAGCGAAGTAAAGCAGTTGGGAATGACGACGATTCTATCTACTTAGACAACACTCACTCCAGGCAGACTTCAATATTGTTCAATGTGACTCCATTCCAGACATCTAAGGATTATATAACCAAAATATGAGATCAAGAAGCAGAACCCCTGCACGCCTTCCTGTAATGCATGGAATATTGTGAAGCCGGTGGTATCTTATGCAATGCAGCCAAAAAGTGCTTCCTCGTGGAGACGCCCCAAAAGAGAGCAGCGGGAAGGAAAAAGGACAATGGAAGTGATGACAGGGCTTTCAGGAGGATTGTTCCCCAGGGTGCGGCTTCCTCCCCGTTACCACATAGAAGTCCATGTAACTATGGACGTCACGATTCTGAATGCTTTTTCGCACATCAACCAGAAAAACTTCTATCTCCGGCTTCGACCACCCCAGTGCAAGGAGAGGTTTGTAGGACCATCCGGACAAAGCCTCTAGCCAGTTTGTCTCATTCCAAGTGCCGATTGTACGCATGTGCGGATCCTCCGGCCATGGGTTGGTGGGAACTTTAGAGATGCGTTCCTGAACGTCGACGAAACCGACTTCTTTCATCCAGCGCGCAATACGATGAGCGATGCGAAATTGTCTTGGGGGATCTGTAACCTGGCTTGAGCGCACATTGAGATCGACCCAATCAAGCAAAGCATATTCACAAAAGCCATCAGGATTCTCGGGAGGCATGGTACCATCGTCACATTTGAGCTTAGGGTCGAACTCGTGGCACTCCATATAACCGCCAGGTTTGAGATGCTTGAATGACTTGCGCAAGACATCCTTGAAGGATGGGAACGAACCAATCATATGGCCTGTGTGAATCAAGTCGAAGTGGTCTGCGTCCCATAACCAGTCTTCTTCGGTGGCATCGTCAACGAGAAAGTGAACATTATTGGGAACCTCAGTCGGTTGAACAGGTGACAGATCAGTACCTGTGATTTCGGCCTCAGGGAAGATGGATGCTACAGGAGCAATGGAAAAGTAAGAAACTGCCTGGAGTAAGCGACAATGTGGCAGGAGGAAGACGCACCCATTTCTATGGGCCATATGCCAGATCCAGTACCGATATCGAGGATTCGTTTGGGGCTATGTATGGGAGCGAAGAACAGTCGTCCATCGTTGACCAGTTTGACCATATGGTGCTGCATGTCCAATCGATCCAATTCCTGCTCATCGTTCGGGTAAATGTATGCTGGGTTTACATCAGACAACGCCGTGAAAAGAGACTGGGACTGAACACATACAGCCCTCATGGTATTTGTGGTATCGTCTTCCATTCTCCGTGGGATAGTCAGTTACACTCGCAGTCAACGACTGCGTGTCACTACAGCAGAATTCAGCGTCAGCGTACCACAAGCGATTTAATCGTCTTTGCTTTCTATACTCCTTTCCATCCGGATCGATGCCAGCTGCAGTTTCCCCAAAGACAGTAAGAAACAAGCAAGCTACTTACTATTGACGGCTCGACTCCTGGGACATTGTTTGTTAGTATCCCATGGAATATGTTGGTTTTGCTGAAAGAGAACACGCTGCAGAGGACAACCGAGTAGTAGGGCAAGCGAAGGCCAAGACATGGTGGTAATAACAGATGCCACGAGGACACAAAAGGAAAATGCTTACAAGAGAATTCGCGCCCACGGTTCTAATGGGTCTAAACATTATTCTGGGATTCTCGGGACCGGTTTCTCGTGTGGGGGGAGGGGGTAAGGAGAAATATGTAAAGTTGTAAACTGTGAAGCAGACAATTTGATAACCTTCTTGATCCTTTTCTGTTTTCTTCCGTCGTTCCTCCGGTCGGTCTATCTTCTTTTTATGACAATGTCGCCGTCTATACGGGTCAGCTGCAGTTATCGTCGAGTTGGTGTTGACGACGAGCAGATATGTTCCAGTGGGGTGATATCCAACCACCGAAGTAGGAGCCAATGTGTCAGTTGAGACTGGATATGCTCCTTTTTCCCATCTGATCTGAGGATCAATATTATTCTAAGGTCTAGCTTGCTAAGGTGTTGTCAAGTGTGCTGTTGTGCTAGCGGGCCAGTTCAGAGTTCAGCCAGTGGATAACAAGCTAGACGGGGGAAGAAGTGGGAACTGGGAAGAGGAAGAAATTTAGAAAATAAGTACTAGTAATAGTTTTCGAATGGATAGAGAAACAGGCGATGACGGTTGCGAATTAGCACCAGGTGGAAATGACTGGAGCTAATGCTACCTCAGTTTCCCTGGGCCTGATTCCCCGATTCTCTGAAGGCCTGAACCCGACAGGCTGGGTTAGGTTTGTAATTAGGTAGGTAGTACTGGAAAAAGGATGGGGATGGAGGGAAGCGGACTGGTAACAAACTACCTTATAAAAGGCTGTTTTGCAGCCATGGGCTTCGATTTCGAGCCTTCGTCACTTATGTGTAAAGATTTCATGAACATAATTTGCTGTACAAAGAGCATAGATAAATTGATTTTCTTGCCACTGAAGTGACTGTACATTTCGTAAATCCGATAATTAATTTTGCTGCACATAAACCGCTAGTTTAGACTATTACGGGCTGTAACAAGATTACCAACTAGTGAATATCTCCTGGGGCCTGCGGAGTTAAATGTGCTCTGTAGTTAAAAGTATGAATCTGCGAGTTCCTTCGCAGTCGTTGTTGTGATAAATAATGGTCGTTAATAATATATCACTCTCAACTTCAGATGGCGCCAGTGGTATGTTTTTCTACAGCAAGCAGTCCTCATGAATTTCATCACTATCTCGGGTGCGAATAAGAGACAACTCTTCCCAGGGGACTGTTATTAGACATGGAGCATTTTCAATGATTTACGGAGTATTTCGGCCGTAGACTTCATGGAAAATGATCTGTATTGCATCGATAACCGAACAATTTAGTCTTTAGTTGCAGATTCATCATAATGCTTTCTTGACTTCTAATATTGAAAGGGCAAGGCTGCAAAGAGTGAAATCAGAGTTATCTGAACCTGTACATAGGTACTACAAGGACTTGTCAGTAGTCTATGCGAAGAGAATCTGTCAGCCTTCCGAAATGGTTACTATTACTGATAGTTGTCAGAGCCATAGTCCTGGTTCTTTTCGCTCTGGAAATTGGAAACCCGAGACTGGGTCATGCCAAAAAAGCACGGACGTCCCAGGAGTTTGGGATTCGGGAAGACAATCGATAGGATAACCAAACAAGAAGAAAGAGGATCAAGGGTACATACGATACCTTAGTAGGAGGTAAGGCTAGGATCATCATCAGATCAACGCAGTCAATTCAATGTTACTATCAATGGGAAAATATTAGTACGGAGCATCAAATGAACTTTCTGGCTGTAAAGAACAATATCATTTCAGGCAAGCTGAGAATTACTCAAGAGCTGCCAAGGATGTCCTATCAACCGCATTTTTGATAATCGGAATCAAGAGGGCCGATACGCCTCAAAAAACATCCCATACCAATTCCCAACGGCGTGAGAAAGGGGCCATTAGGTCCAGCAGCTGGTGGGGATGTCGCTCCTAGTAATTGCCATTCTACGTATGCACTGGACACTGAAAACCCCTTTTGCGTGAGTTGTTAATAATACTTGAATAGAGACTCCAACAACTAATTATTATTAGTTTTTAGCAAGTACCTCTCTAGTGAAGTAAAACCAAATACCACTAATTATTCCAGCTCTATACCCAGCGATTTCCCGCTGTTACAATGTAAGTAAGAATAATATTAATACCAAGATCAGCAAAGCTAAGGTAAGTAGGTAAGACTGCAAGTTAGCTGCAATTTGTAGCACAAACGGAAGATGATCGTCAAACTAAGTCTGATCCAATGGCTGCTGGTGCCATTGTGCTGGATTTCGCATCCATGGGTCATTCTCCTATTATCCGAGTGGGCTGAACTCCAATGCATCCCTCTCTGCATGCTGCCTTGTTTCTGTGTAATCCGCGCTGTGTCAGCGTTGGCAGGTTTACACTCCAGTAGCTGCATCGCATTTAATCTGATTACGTTCTCGAACACAATGCAGGTTACTTTTTACCATACCGTTCGATTATTGCAGGATACCACAGAACACCTGACACCGAGTGTTTTACTGTTTGGTCCATGAACGGAGTTTACCGCTGATCTATCCAGTCTGTCGGATCCCTAGACCCACTCCAACTGTCCAGCATCGGCGGGACGTGAATTAACCTACTCCGTACTGTAACATCGCCCGTCCCACCTTTCCATCTTGATTCGACGCCGACAGGCTGCTTTGCTTGCCGCTCTGGGCGAACGACATGAATCCAAATTCTCGTTGGCCAACTGAACATAGCTCTGGGACCATTCATTTTCGGTGGTAGCGAAGGCCAATTTGTGGAACCGAGTTCCTCGTCGATTATTATTTGTTAAGTACGGACTGCGATGTAGGTCAAGCTATTTATTATTCATCATCCATACTCCGTACTCTAGCATTATGAGGAGATGCAGAAGAGAAAGACGTTTTCTGAAATTTTCGCGTGTCTTTTTTATGATGAGAAAACCTACATCAGAGGGGAAAGGCAACCATTCTCATCATAATAAGTTGGTTCAAAACTCGGGATCCAGGAAGGGAACTCGAAAGTACTGAAAGTACTCCGTAAGCACATCTGATCGCCACATCGCCCCCGCAGGTAAGTGCACTTCTGCCTGTGTCTTCTCCGTTCTGTGTCCAAAATTCTAGATCGACTCCATCAGGGAGGACTATTAGCCTAGGAACGAATATTTTCAATACTAAGAGTTACCCGATGCCGGGGCCTGAAATCAATGACATGAGTTTCACACTACAGTGACGGCATTTGCAAACCATTGGCTATGGTTAGAAAAATCAAGACAGAAAGCTGCTTCGCTTAAGGAGCATGGCACTGGCGATACTCTTGTAAGAGCAGATTGAATGATGAACCTACGCCACAAAGATGGGGTTGATGAGAGGTTGAGATTCCAGAGAGATTTTGTTTGCCGAGTCGTGACCAGTACTTACATATTCCGACAAATTGGCATTTATCTCGATAGTACGGGGACTGGGCCTTGAGAGTTTGAGTGAATGTAATCGTATTCTTAATTTTGAAGGGTTACTAGTTTGTTATCATGGTATATGCTGCCAGTCTTGTAGTAGTAGGAAGTATCTACCTCGTTTGTTTCTTTCAAAAGACAGCGAAAACAGGCAGCTGAATCTTAGTTTCCTTTCATTGGCTTGTATCGATGAGACAGCCTGGCTTGGTGGCTCCTTTGTCAGACCCACAGAGTTCATGAAAACTTGTGTATGAACTGTACTATCTACCTTACTATGGTCGACAAGGGAAGTACGCAGACTGTTTCATCTGGCGGGACTCAAGCATTATCAGGCATAACCAGATTCACATAGTGATGGCCTTCGAACTTCGAAGGATGTACCGCTTAAAGTGAGTCAGCCCAATGGTGTTTCTTGATAGCAAGGAATGAAATCATGTACGGAGTATTTTTGTCCTCTTCGGCTGCTACTGGTATTCTCGTTGGCGTCGTGTCGAAATGGCAACCCTGTCCGTTGATCAGAAGACTGGCTTATCCATGTAATCAATCCTCCAGCCACTGGCCACTGGCCAGGTGGTCATACTATAATCCTAGCCTAGGTAGTCAACGATGACAGGTTACATGGGGAGACCACTCCAAATTGCAAGGCTATCGCACTGGGATAAGGACGGTGGCTGGGAAAACGAAGTGGGAACTGAACGAGAATGGATCTCGCCTGTGATGGACGAGACGCCTCGCTGCCCACTCAGCTGGCAGTACTTGATTTACTGTGGAGGTACGAATGACTACTTCTGAGAAATCGGGCTAGTCCCAAGTACGTAGATGGCTAGCACCAGCTACCTACACACGGTTCGGGTTTGAGATTTCCCAGGAGACCCCCATCTAGCCTCAGCCTCCGCTGAACTTTACCTAGGCATCAGTGCAGTCATCAATCTCGCTCCTTTCTGATCCTTGATGGGCTAAATCTGGCATGCTCAAGATCTTGCTGCCTTAACATCCTTCGATCGGCCCAAGTCAGGTCACCTCAACAGCCTTGTTACTTTACATCGGCCCATAACATCGGTAACTGAATTCTTCTGACGTCCCAGATTATGCTAACAACAATTCTCCGAGTGACAGTGCTATGTCTCTTGAGATCGCTAGTCTGATCGCATGCAGGACATTCACATTTACCCTCTACGTAGAGCGAGGACCACTGCTGAAAAAAAGGGTCATCAATAATCCCCTGGGACAAGAGCTAGAAACTATAACTTGCACAACATGGTATTTCATTGATACCTAATGATCATTTTTGGTATTCTCACAATTAGAAACCTCCAGTGGAGTAACTGGTGGCTCTCACAGGTTCGGCCAGAGCACACTGCCATGTGTCCAGATTTGTGTAAAGTAGGATAGAACAAACCGTTTCATGTAAACGGTTCTGAGCTTCCCAGTTATTATCTGACTATTAACCACTTCCATCCATTCTTCTTTCCACGATGAATCCCAGGTGTAATTGAGTCTTCAGGCATCTTCTCAGTTTGAATGCAACTGTGCTATTTCGTACCTCACAGCCTTGGCTTGTACCATTTTTAGAAGGGAAGACCATGCCAGGCACATGGAGACTCTCAAAAGCATTATTCTACCCTCTCGCTTGGCCTCCATCGACGATACGATGGAGCACTGGAGCAGAAATTCGAAGTCCAAAACAGGAAAAGCCGAGTCCCACCGTGGACCCGATTCGTAACACTTGCTGGACGAGTCTGGATACCAAATGTCTCCAATGAAGGAAGAGTATTGTGGTGATTGAAACGCGGTAGAGACAAATCTGAAGGTCCGACATGCTTTCACGAAGGTGGACGTCGTATGTGGACTCAGAGAGAGTTGTTAGGAACACTGGCTGTGTTCTATCTGTCGACAGTATTATATCTAATGGCTATAGAAGAGTTATTTGCGAAGGAAAGGAGCCAGCTCAGGTCATTGCGAATACTCAGACAGCTGCCAGTGATAGACAGATTGAAGTGATTGAGCTTGTAAGACCCTGTAGGCCACAAGACAAGGGATGTTCATAAACACTGAAGGTAGTCATGGCGTCAAGGCACTTTTGTCGATTTTTCGCAAGGAGTAGGCCATTCAATATTCCATCTGCTACCTGGACGCTTGGAGTTTGCTGCGAACAGTACCCTCCCTTAGGTATTGAATTCCTAAAAGACGTGCAAGACTAACGAATCAGCCCCATTGTTCAGCATTCTCATCACTAATTGACTGAGAGAGACTATCTGATCCTATTTAGTACTAAACGAATCCCAGAAGATCCTTGGTCTTACGTCCTCAACAAACCTCCGATATGTTTCCTTTTACCTTAACCTGCTCTCTAGACGTTGGATGGCTCCAAAGGGCAAAGTGCCATCGGTCTCAGCTTCAGCTCATTACCTCATAGGCACCAGATCTACAGTCAACACTTGACGGTACCTGCAAATAAGGACATATACGTGTCCTATGGTGGATAAGACGCGATCATCAACTTCCATTTGACTCACTTCTCCAAAGCTAAGATGCCTACTATTAAAGCAAGATTCCAGTTCAGTACTGTGGTACGCTACCAAGGCTTGTCGACTATCCATCCACCCTCCAACGCGTTTCCATAAATCAAGCTGACAGGATTCTCTGCACAGATACAAGATTACCTTCCATCGGCTGAACCTTGTCCGTCCTACAAAATAATGAGCCTTTCTAGTCCGTGTATTCGACGCGAAATGCGAATAAGCGTACCTGGTCGAGATACGAATATCCGTCTGAATTCTGGGGACGCCTTCCTGATGAATCAACGTGTGGGCGAAACCAATCACCTGAACGACTTGATCCCACGACCCCTCTGCGTATTAGGCTTTTAGCTGCGAGTTCACAAGCTGAAACAAAACCGATACCTACCAATTGTTGTTCCCATGGGATCCATATGGAACTTAAGACCTGTCTGCTGGCTGGCCTCCGCCAACAAGCGCTGGATATCCGCGATCTGCTGAGAGAAAGAAGCGTTCTGAGTTCCAATCTATAGGGGAGGATCAGTTGAGGAGCTGGACGGGAACGGGGTCTATACTACACCGACCGGAACCAGAGAGAAGTCGGCAGTGCATCGTGCCGGAGTCGCGAGAGCTGGGTAGTTGAATGACATTACTCTGAGATATGGCTGTTTGGACTACGATTTTCCTGAAAAGAGGGTGAAGGTGTTTTGAGGTTGATGTGAATTTGGATCGCAGCTTATAAGGTCAGAATGGACCGCGACACAGATCATGGTGACGTCTGAAGAAGCATCCATTACGTCTCAAGAGCATATTTAACTTTACTTAACAGCAACAGCATCCTTGGGTCGCTCCCTTTCGAAGGTGAGTGTCATCTTCTCATTCGCATGCATCTAACCTAATACTGCGTCTCGTCCACGGTACGTCCTCGGTACTGGTCAGGCTCACTCCCACGGATGTAAACATCTTGAAACAAAACATCCAGTCTCGGCTCAGGTTCTGGCATCTTCTCAGCTTCTGCCGCCTCTTTATTTACCTTTTCCCTCACATTCTTATCGATTGTCTTTGCTTCGTCCTCCGTGATGACGCCCCAATCTATCAGCTTCCCCCGAAAGTTCGAAACTGGGTCATTCGCACGCTCCGCCTTTAATTCTTCGCGAGTCCGGTATGCGATTCCAGGATCACTCATTGAGTGCCCGGCGTACCGATATGTCACATACTCATAGACCAAGGGCCCGTTTCCAGCTCGAATGAACTCTCTGCCGTGCTTGACTGCTGCCATTACCGCCAGGACGTCCATACCGTTCACTCTTAACCCAGGGATGTATAAACCACGTTTATAGTAATCAGTCATTGCAGACGCTCTTTCAGCAGAGGTTCCCATGCCGTACTTATTATCTAGATACCTGTTAGCAGAAGACGGGTTGAACACGGTGGCTTAGGCCCCAGGTGTCTAGAAGAACTGACTCTCGCAGCCGAACAAAACAGGCAGTTTCCACAATTTCGCCATGTTGAAAGCCTCATGGACTTGACCTTGGTTTGCTGCTCCGTCACCATACACATCAATCGTGACATTATCCCTGTCATTGTACTGCTGAGCAAAGGCTATTCCAGCGCCGACTGGTACATGAGCTCCCACGATGCCATTACCCCCAAAGAAGCCCTCACGGAACATGTGCATAGAGCCTCCTTTGCCGTGGGATATGCCATCCTGCCGTCCAAGTAGTTCGCCAATAATTGACCTGATACTTCCCCCTCGCATAAATGTGAATCCATGAGAGCGGTATGCAGTGATTAATTTGTCCTCTTTGCTGATGCCATATTCAATGCCAACAGCGACTGCCTCTTGGCCAGTTGACAAATGACAAAATCCTCGAATCTTCTTTTGCTTGTAAAGAGTGTCAGCAGCTAATTCCATTCGTCTGTGAATAAGTCAGCTACAGAGCATCAATAGTCCTAAAGGCATATTTCACCTTATCGTAAGCATGTCTTGGTATAAGTTCTTGAGCTGCCTTTTTGTGGTTCCTACTGTGTATGGGGGATGGTCAAAATGATACGTCTCGAAGCTGTCTTCTGGTATAGGGACGTCAAAGGGCTTGTCATCTTCCTTTCATGAGTTTAGCGCTCGCCTCATTCAAACAAGTCGATTTGAATTCAGCACAAGGCGCCGCTTACAGTAGGTACGTTCTGCGCATTGACAGCTTGTGCAAGGAAGCGACGTTTTGCGCAGAATAGCTTGGAGCTAACCCAAGGTAATGACTCCTTGAGTCTCAAGTTTCTTGAAAGCATGGCAGCTAATTAATGCTTCAGTCTAGAGAAAGTGAGTTGCTTAGTGGTATCTAAGCGGACAAGACAGGTGAGAGTAGGCACCTTACTGCCATGAGCTCGGAATGAAAGATTTCAAAGCAACATAAAATAGCGAGAGGCTGGATTTCTCGACAAATGAAGTGATGTGGCACGACAGCTTCAGTGACGCAATCCTGAACTCAGAGCTCGCTTTCCTCCGAGAACAGCTACATAGTAGGTACTAAGCTCTGGAAGCCTGGCCTACAAGTCAATAGGACTCTGTACGGTTGCCCTTCGGCTGGGATCCATGGTGCCGAGATCATCCATGATCAACAGGTACGTGCATACCTATCGTGGACAGTCGTGTCCGCAAATTCCATACGTCTTTCTGTTGCTTTTCACTATGTAGCAGTTACATAATCGCATTGAACTTTCGCAACCGGGAAAGCCTTTCTGACTTATCAAAGGAATCAAATCTCCGACACTCTCTATTAAGAATCTGTGATTGCAAAATCTCAAGATACGTAGTTGGAGATAGAGCTAAGCACATCCAATCGTTCGGTATGGATCAACAATCTTCCGATATGACGCATATTGCCGTTCTGGGCTCCCGCGTCTGACTCTGCCATGAAACTCGCTCCTAGCAATATCAAACCTATAGATGCTTTCAATTTCGGTCACGAAGAGGTGATGCTAGGTAATGGGTCGAACAAATTTCGTCGCGCAAGAAGCGCAGTAACACGATATACGTGACTCTGGCCGCGCTTATAGATCTGCGAGGCCAGATATAGATATTGCTTCATGCTGCCGCTCAAAAAATTCCGGCATCATGCGCCGTGAACCTCCTGGCCGCTCAGCGAGGGGCCGAATCTCTCGCGGTCGACCCACCGGGCGCGAGGAAGAAGATGAAATACCCGAAGTCTACCGGGAAATGCTCGCTGAAGCAGAACTGCGGAGTCCAGATATCTCGGAGGCGGACCGTCCTATCAAGAAACGAAAGGTTGGAGCTCAGAGAGCTACCACTTCTGATGTTGTTTTTGTACCCCAAGTGCCACTGCCAATGGAAGATCAAGGTCAAGCCAGCCGGCAGGTACAGACGGTCTATGACGAGCCCACGTCAGAGGAATCCGATATGGAGTGGGAAGAAGTTGACCTTCAACAAGCTCCAGCTCAGTCAATTCAGATCCCTCCAGTGGCAGGGGGCGATAATGAACCACTCCAGATCACTCTCGACAATCATGAAGGAAAGAGACGGAATGTAGTCTCAAGGCAAAAGCCACTCACCGCTGCCGAGAAAAAGCTCCGATTAGATATACACAAAGTTCATGTGCTCTGTCTCCTGCGCCATGTGCAAATACGGAATCTATGGTGCAATGACGATGAACTACAGGTACGCAACCAAACGCCTAGCATGAGTGGTACCCTCTACTCGGTCCGCTCGATTTTAACATGCAATTTAGAGCTTTCTCAAGAGGATGTTACCCAAGCAAGTGATAGCCATGTTAAATCCAGCAGAGGACAAACCACAGTACAGCCGGTCTACGACCTTTGTTGATGGGCTGAATCAAGCCAGTGATGCTTTTAGCAGGAGGTTCAGAGTGAATAGGCCGGGCTTGAAGCGAGCTCATTGGGTAGATCCTGAGAAGTTGAAGCAAAAAGTGGTATGTGTTCAAAGCTCCACGCAGTAGCCACCCCTCCTCACATCACTGTAGGAGTCTATTATGCCCGACGCAGAAGTCTTTTTGTCAAAAGAAGACTTTTGCACACAGGCTAGGACGATGCAGGGCTCTCGTGACTTTGGTGCTCAGTTGTTCTGTGCTCTTCTACGCTCCGCAGCTGTGGAAGCGAGGCTGGTCTGCTCACTCCAGCCTTTGTCCTTTTCTGGGATGACGAAGAACATGACGCCGAACAAACCAGATTCACCGTATATTGTTATATCGTCCGATGACCATGACACGTCAGCAGATGATCAACAGATGTCTGGCGCCTCACCGACACCGGCGTCAAGGTCTCGAAGACTTGGACGACCACAATTCAACCCATCACGTTCACAGAAGACCTCTATTCCAGGTAACGTGCCTACGACTATCCCGCTTGTCTAATTACTGACTTCCCAAAGGTCCGGGATTTACCGCTCGAGCCTCGCCTTACCCGGTATTTTGGGTTGAAGCATTCAACGAAGCTGTCCAAAAATGGGTCCCCGTCGACCCATTGGTTACCAAAACGATTGCAAAACCATCTAAGTTTGAACCGCCCTTCAGTGACCCATCAAACTGCATGAGTTATGTAGTCGGCTTTGAAGAGGATGCGTCCGCAAGAGACGTTACCAGGCGCTATGCAAAAGCATTTAATGCGAAAACACGCAAGCTCCGTGTTGAATCTACTAAAGATGGAGAGAGATGGTGGGCAAGGACGATGGGCTTTTACGAAAAGCCTTTTTTGGAGGACAGAGATGAGGTGGAAATTAGCGAGTTGACAGCGAAGACTGCTGCCGAGCCTATGCCGCGAAATGTGCAAGACTTTAAGGACCACCCGATATACGCGATTGAGCGGCAGCTTCGGCGGAATGAAGTGGTTTTCCCAAAACGCGTCATTGGTCAAGTCAGTCTTGGGAAGTCGGGATCGAAAGATCAGGTGTTAGTGCCGGTGTACCGCCGTAGCGATGTTCATGTTGTCCGCAGTGCGGACAAATGGTATCGCTTGGGACGAGACATCAAAATTGGCGAACAACCATTAAAACATATTCGCGTCAACAGAAACAAGGATGTTGGTTTCAGCGAAGACGAGCACGACAATGAAAGCGGCATGGAGATTCCTCTTTATGCATATTTTCAAACGGAGGTCTACGCGCCGCCGCCTGTTGTGCAGGGGAAAGTACCAAAAAATTCTTACGGGAACCTGGATGTCTATGTGCCGAGTATGGTTCCTCCTGGGGGCGTTCACATAAAGCATCCTCAAGCTGCTTCTGCAGCAAGGGTCCTTGGTATAGATTATGCAGACGCAGTTACAGGCTTTGATTTCAAAGGCCGACATGGAACTGCTGTTTTTCAAGGGGTTGTTGTTGCTAGCGAGTGTCAGGAGGCGCTTGAAGAGGTCTTGTATCACCTTGAAGATGAGAGAAGACAAGCTGAGTCTGAGGAAAAATCGAGAGAGATGTTACAGTTGTGGAAGCATTTTCTTCTAAAACTGCGAATTGCAGAAAGGGTCAAAAGCTATGCCATTGAAGGAGAAGAGAGCGCTGGTGAAATCTCTGAAAACTACGAGGATCCAGAGGAAACTGGTGGCGGATTTATTCCCGAACCAGAGCAGGAAATGGCCGACACAGGAAAATTTTCGACTTATCAACAATCAACCGAACAAGAGCCTCGAGGACATACATACAATGAAGCATCGACAAATAATGGAGCCCTGGGAGATGAAGCGCCCCGTGGGGGAATCAAATCTGACGAGAGTGCCAGCCACATAGAAGCAATCTCGGTGAATCCTTCCGCAAGGGACATTCCCAAGGCATCAAGACGTCCTCGTTATAACCTTATCGTCGTTCCTAATAAGAAAGCAGACAGCAACGAGACCGGCACATCCCAACGGCAACCCCAACAGCAGCACGAAGAATCTCCTGGGATTGCGGAGCTTGAACCAGCGGCAGAAGCTGAGAGTGTTAAGAGCTCCGGGGAGACTGGTCCTGCAGGCTCATCGGAAGCTCCCATTATGGTCGACACTTCGACAACAGGCGGCTCCAAATCAGCTAGTGTTGAGATACTGTCGCGGGCAGCATCGCAGACCCAGTCGCGAACTCCCACGCCAGAGGAAGTTGACGAGACACTAGCAGTTGATGACAATGGATCATTGTTGTCGCATGATCCTGAAGATGAGGATGCGATTCCAGAGTGGCTAGTATGAGCTCCTCTGGTTTGGATCGTTAGTTCATGATTATGTGTACATCCTTGTATAGGCAGTTTGTCAATAGACACCCTATTACTGTAGAACTGACAGGTAGTCTGAGTGATTATCTAGACGAGTGTTGCCTAGAACTGGATTATATCTGTGCACAGACCACTATCGATGTCATAGGGATCAGACGCGTCAACGACGCGAACCGCCCGATAAGAAAGCTTTATGCGTTATGACCCATCAACAGCCGCAACTCTACTCCGGACTTATGGTCTTATTTCTTTTTTAGTTCCTCAAATACTGATATAGCTTCTTCGATTTGCGATGAGACAAGGTGACGGGCCAAGTACAAAATCTGCCCAGGAACAATTTCGAACGCCAAACAAGCCTCCTATATCAAGTTCTTCTACCACCTCTAGTGCGCGAAAAGGGACGACAACATCAAAAAAACATAGTGTGACTCCAGTATCCTCAGCCTCGGCGTCTAAGCCTTGGAAAGGAAGCTTGCTCTCCAGGGATCAACCTACACTTACACAGATTGAATTTGTGACACCGAGGACACAGAACGCCGAATCCGATGATGATGACAACCTCGATTACATCAATAATGCCGCGCCAGATAATAGTCCGAATAGTCGCCAGGTGATCGTATTAGATGAGAATTCCGACGATGATGCTAGTTATCAACCAATTTCATATATACGGGCACGGGGTACCGGGGACGCCGAACGAAGACCAAATGCTGCGCGCAATGTATCGGGTCTGAGAAGGAGTACAGGTCAAGCTGGTTCAGCAGAAAAGCGGTCCGGAATAAAGAGTATCGAAAGCGTCAAGAGCAGCAAGAAGAAGACGGAGAAGCAGCAAAAGGACAAGACACTCACTCAGATGGATTACGTGCGGCGCTACCTGAAGATCGAGCCTGATGATGAAGTGAAGCTGGAGTACACCTATATCACCCCGACGAAGAATGATAGCCAGAGAGTCGCAGGCAAACTCCGTCATGGGCTTGATTCTGCGCCCACCGAGGATGCGACAGCCCAAGAATCCTTCAGCTTGAGTAAGAAGAGGAAACTGGAAGCTGAGGAGGATATGAAAGGAGTCTTGTCCAGTACGTCGACGCCGGAAAAGAAAGTCTTGAAAGGAAGCCCGAAGACGCCACGAAAACCATGGAAATCTGAAATACCTTCCTCTCAGTCACCCGAAAGTCCTGGGGTTGCGATTATTTCATCATCACAGTTTCGAAACGCTACTCGATCATCTCCCAACCTTGATTTTTCGATCAAGCCTACTTCTACCATCAAAGAAGAGTCACCTAGTTTGAACCAGACAAATATAAGCGCCAGGCATGTGTCAATGTCTGAAGATCAATTGCCGCCGACCATGATACCCGATTTTGAATCAGCGGCCGAGCTGGCTGTTGATAATGAAACGAAATTTGATGTTGAAGCGACACAATCGAATTCAGCAAAGGGACCATCCGCTTTAGGGTCCGAGTTGGAGAAGAAACCGGAACCTGACAGACCTCCACCGAGTACGGAGAGAACAGTAGTATATGAAACGGACGCCGAAACGGACTACAGTGATGATGAGCCGGTAGTTGCTGGGCCGAATGACAAGCCGAATGCGATGCCATTTGAGGATGAAGACGACGAGGGTGAAGACCTGAGATCACCACTCAGTGACTCCCAAGACCTCCCTCCACCCATATCACATCCTGGCTTGGAAGATGAGTCTGGGCCTTTGCAGTCTGAAACTAATCTGTCATCCGAGGCATCAATATTATATCAAAGACGACAGCCTGCCACGCAAATCCCACTAGAACCTATCCCTACGCTGAGCACCCAGAAGCTGGCGGAGCTTTTCCCACAGGAATCCAGCATTCAGCAAACCATGACTGAGACATCGTGCACCAAGTCGTCCGCTCACAAGGTTGAGGCATTATCTGATCCCTCCTTGCAGACGCAGACTCAGAGCCAAACTCAAGACCTGGACAAATATTCGACGGAGATGATCCCGGAATCCTCGCCTGTCACACGGCACGGAGACTACGCGAGTACAGGTGATGCTATACTCCCTCAAACCCTTGCTCGGAGCGTGGTACAGGTAGAGTCTTCACAAATAGTGGATCGCCTCAAAAGGCAGGCTGATCCAGACGAAGATTCTCGTCCTAGGGGTATGCTGTCCCGCAGCCAACTTCTCACCTCCAGTGTCATGGAGAGTGTTCCTGTGCCGGGTTTCTGGATGGGCAGTCAGGACAGTGTTGGAGAACCCTATAGCTTGACAGATACATAGTATATAGCTTAACGTGACGAATTACGAAATGCACATATACATTCATGATCAATCTGGTATCTATATCTTGTTCAATTCTTGATTAATCTTTATAGCAAATATCCTCAAGTGTTCCAAGGTGGAACCCTCAGTGGGGCATTTCATGATTGTTCGGTCCGTCGTACGCCCCGAAGGCCCGAACGGAAGCGCCATGCAGATCCACTGGCAACAAGCAGCTACCGTAACTCCTCCGCAACCGTCATCGAGGACGGTCTCTCTCAATTAATTCCAGCAGAACTGATCGCCTCTTTTATTGCGATATTGACTCGCCAAGAAAGCCATGGATATCGCATACGATCATATTCAAGAGGAGATCTTCTCCACCAATGAGTCGTCAAAGAAAGAAGGCTCACAAGACGACTCCAAAACAAACCGATCCAACGTCGACCTCAACACCGAACTCCAAGAGACATTCCGCGCCTTTTCCGCAAGTCCCTGGGGAATAAAGATTGGTGGGCTGTGGGATAACGTCCGCAAACAAGGCGAGAGTTACTATGAAGGTGCCAGGCAAGAGTACGCCGCGGCCAGCGAGGAGGCCGCCAAGGGCCTATCAGACTTGAAAGACACTATCGTTGGACGCACGCGAGGCCTGTCGCTAAGTACTGCTTTTGCTACTGGGTCGTCGGAGAAAAGTAAGGATGAGACACCGACGCCAACTGCGTCCCGAGCGGGAGAAAGTCAGGAACAGGGACCCAGCGACGCGGGCGCAAGCGAGGGTTTCCTCTCCCGATTCAAGGCAGAGGCTGCAAGACGACTTAAGGAGATTGAGAAGGCCGAGGAAGCTGCGGATGAAGCGATCCTGCGCTTTGGTATGACTATTGGCCAAAAGCTGCGGGATGCGGTCAGCATTGTGCCGCCCGACGCGGAGTCGTCAAACAAAATCCTTTTCGAGAGTAAGGATGCCGAGGGCAAAAGAGTTATTCATGCGACCCGATTCGAGGCGCAGCTGCATGTGATCCATTCCAACCTGGAGAGCTTCACCAAGGACCCTGTCAGTGACAAGTGGGCCTCGTTCAAGGAGGAGTTCAACGTAGACAACAAGACCGAGGCCATCGCCGCGGATTTGGAGAAGTACCCCGAGCTGCGATCAGCCATGGAAAAGCTTGTTCCTGAGCAGGTCGACTATGCAACCTTCTGGTCTCGGTACTATTTCCTCCGCCTCGTGATCGAGACCGAAGAGCAGAAGCGCAAGGAACTTCTTAAAGGTTTGTTGCTGGTCGCCCCACCTTGCTTTTTTACCGGAATTTCTGACAAGAAATTATTGCAGGCGCCAATGTGGATGAAGAGGAGGAGGTTGCTTGGGACGACGACTCCGACGACGACACCGACTCTCCCTCTACTCCTCAGGTCAAGACAAATAATACAACCCAGATTCCCGCTGTTGCCAAGAATAAGCTGCTCAAGCCTGACGAACGCCGGCGCTCAAACGACCAACAGTCTCAGCCGGACAGTGAATCCAGCTATGATCTCGTCAGTGGCAACACCAGTCGTGCGCCTGGCAGCCCGAAGGAGAAGAGCCCAACGACAGCGGCGAAGGACGATGACAGCGACGAAGACTGGGAATGAGCAGCTGATACACATCACCTTGGTCATGTTCTCCATTGATGTCTTACCCCTTTGTCTCAATTGCGTCTGTTTACCAGCTCTTTTGAGCTCACCGTTCAGGTAGTTTTGAGAGGAGTTATGGCGTTTGTCTTTGATACTCCCTGGTGTTATGGGTTTTCTTTGCTTTCCATTAGCTCTTAGCGGTTATCTGTTGATATCAATCATTCTACTTGCTTCACCTTTTAGCTGGGCATCTCGTATGCTTCACCATTGGCACGGAAAGGATTGTCCATAGCTATTAATATATTCTACAAAACTATTCGCTGCTCTTACGAGCACATGTTTTAATCATTCTATATTCGCTACATTTGCATAACATCCTCGTATTCGTCAATATCAATCAAGGTTTTCCTCAAGCCCCGCGCTCAGGATCTTCTACTGGAGTCGATCGTCTGGAAAGAGAGCCTCTGCTTGACGCTTCATCGGCGAGGACCGAGGAGCCCCGCATCGCACTCTGTCGCCTTACATCAGGCTTAGTTGAACCTGCTCGCCGGGATTGCAGCGGCGTTTCTGGCGTATTTTCGCGGGAGCGCAAATGATATCCCGGATACCGGTCAGTGGGTGTGTAGGGATACTCGCTTCCCTCGCGAGAATAACCGACTGGAGGCCCATCAGAAGCCCAGCCATACTGATAATCTTCGCCTCTTCGTTTGACAGGACTTTCGTCGTAAGGATCCCAGCCAACCCTGCGTCTCGCGTCTGCGCGAAGACGCTGGCGATGTTGCTCATCACCGCCGGCACCAGTAGTGGATGATTCCTCGAGGAAAAAGTTGAGAAGTTCGTCGCTAATAGAGAGGTGGGACTGTTGCTGAAATTGTTGTAATGACATCAAGCGGAGAAGTGTCTCGAGAAGGGAGAGGGAGGTTCGGATGTTGTTGAAGAGGGGGTTCGAGACGGTCGTTGTGGCGGCAGGTTGGGAAGAGGTTGGGATTCCTTGCCTGGACCTGTCGTGCTTCGCATCAAGAGATAGCTTTGCCATCATCCGCGGATCTATGGAGTCCTCCCTGTCTGGCGCCTCCGCTTCGGATTCAGTGTCCGAAGACTCATCTTCGTTATAGACTTCGAATGCTATC